CTGAAGATCCTTTAGAAAATATTCTTTAAAAATCAACGTTTTTTGTTCTGAAGATCCTTTAAAAATTATTTATTGAAAATCCAATTTTTGGTCCTTTAGAACATATTCTTTAAGTATACACGTTTCTTGTTCTCCTGGTCGTTCAGAAAATATTCTTTAAAAATCCGAAATTCTTGATCCGAAGGTCCTTTAGAAAATATTCTTTTAATATCCATATTTCTTGATTTGAAGGTCCTTTAGAAAATATTATTTAAATAATCATGTTTTTGGTCAGAAGATCCTTTAGAAAATATTCTTTTGTTGGTCTGCTGATCCTTTAGAAAATTTTCCTCGATAATCCATGCTTAAGCGTCTGATTACATTTGTTAGTCGGGAGGTCCTTGAGGAAATATTCTTAAAAAATTCACATTTGTTGGTCTGATGGTCCTTTAGAAAATATTCTTTAGAACCACGTTTGCTGACCTGATGGTTTTGAAAAAATATTCTTTAAAAACCCCGTTTGTTCTGAAGGTCTTTTTTGGAAAAAAATCTTTAAAATCCCCATTTGTTCTGAAGGTTCTTTTTGGAAAAAATTCTTTAAAAACCCCATTTGTTCTGAAGGTCCTTTTGGAAAAAAAATGTTTACAAACCCTGTTTATTCTGAAGGTCCTTTTGGAAAAAATCTTTAAAAATCCACGTTTGTTGGTCCTGGTTAGTTCTTCAGAAAAATTCTTTAAAAGCCACTTTTGTTGGTCCTGTATAGTTCTTCAGAAAAAAAAATCTTTAAAAATCCACGTTGGTTGATCCTGGATACTCCTTCAGAAAAAAATTCTTTAAAAATACTGGTTGATCCTAGAAACTCCTTTAGAAAAAAAATCTTTCAAAATCCACGTTTGTTGATCCTGGAAACTCCTTTAGAAAAAAATTCTTTAAAAATCCACGTTTGTTGATCTTGGAAACTCCTTTTGGAAAAAATCTTTAAAAATCCACGTTTGTTGTTCCTGGTTAGTTCTTCAGAAGAATTCTTTAAAAATCGACGTTTGTTGATCCAGGTTACTGCTTCAGATTTTTTTTTAAATCCACGTTTGTTGTTCCTGGTTAGTTCTTCAGAAGAATTCTTTAAAAATCGACGTTTGTTGATCCAGGTTACTGCTTCAGAATTTTTTTTAAATCCACGTTTGTTGATCCAGGATACTCTTTTTGAAAAAATCTTTAAAAATCCACGTTTGTTGATCCTGGATACTCCTTTTGAAAAAATTCTTTAAAATTCCACGTTTATTGATCCTGGATACTCCTTTTGAAAAAATTCTTTAAAAATCCACGTTTATTGATCCTGGATACTCCTTTAGAAAAAATCCACGTTTATTGATCCTGGGTACTCCTTTAGAAAAAATCCACGTTTGTTGATCCTGGATACTCCTTTAGAATAAATCCACGTTTGTTGATTCTGAAAATTCTTTTAGAAAAAATTCACGTTTTTCGATCCTGGATACTTCTTTAGAAAAAAACCACGTATGTTGATCCTGGATACTTCTTTAAAAAAAAATTCTTTAAAAATTCACGTTTGTTGATTCGGGAAAATCCTTCAAAAAATTCATTGAAAAATCACATTTGTTGATCCTGGAGAATTCTTCACAAAGTATATTCTTAAAACCCACGTTTGTGGTTCCTGTATAGTCCTTGAGAAAGTATTCTATAAAAATCCACAACAAAGATAGTCAGTCCTTAAGAAATTTTTCATTAATACTTCAAGTTTCCCGATAGTCCCCGAAGAAATATTCTTTAAAATCCACGTTTGTTCGTCCTTTTTAATTTGATAATGCTTCAGAAAAAACAAGCCTTTTCGTCCTTCTACTAACTATAATAGGTCTCCTTAAACCACTTTCCATTGCATTTTTCTTCAAGAGTAATCCCAGCACCAAATAGGCACCTATCACCAATAAAACAATTTCCTTTTCACTTAAAACATGTCATCGCAAACTTTTATCATTATCACACAGACATACACGCACATGCACACACAGGCAGTAACAAATTTTCGCATTTCGCTCGAAAAGTTTCCCCCTTTTTGATGTTGTATTTTGTCGACTTGCAGACAATTTTTGCGATGATTCATCGACACAGCGCCCTTGTCGCCGTTTTCTGTTTTTTTTTTTCTGTTGTTGGTATTTTCCTTTGTGGAAATACATGTTTTCTTATTATTTTTGTTGTTGCTGTTTCTGCTGTGATGTTAGTCGTCAAGTCGTACGTTGCACGTTGTTGTGCGGCCACAATGACGTCTTCAGTGGGCGCTTTTAGAAATAAGTCGGTAGGTGGTGGTGGTGGTTATTCCAAAACGTTTCTTGTCTCACTTTGCTATCTCACTTCTCTGCCTTTTGTCGCCATTGAACCAGCTTCGAGTTCGTGTTTTATTGAATGAAACTTATCTCTGAGATGCGTGCAACAGCATGTCATGACTTGTAAATGAAGACAGCAGAAATCGACGACGTCGACGACGACGACAAGAAGAAGAACAACAAAAGTCGAGTACCACATGAACCCTGTTCAAGTACTCAAACACATCTCTTTATTTCTTTTTTGATTTCTTATTCTCCCTCAGTCGAATGAGAGTAAATTGTGAGTAGTAACTCCAGAGGGCATGCACGCACACAGAAACACACGTACATGCACAATGAGAATGAATATCTGCTTATTAAATTCCTTAATATTTTTTATTTTATTTTTTTTATATATTCAACAAGAAAGGCTGCTGCTATTGTTGATAACAACATGGGTTTACAGAAGCAAAGAATGCGGAAATGGACAGATATATATTTTTTATTTTTACAATGGATTGTATATTGGGGTGCCTCAATAGAATAGAAATGAGAAATGGGAGGTTTCCTCTTTGAAAAGACAGGACATGTAAAATTGGACGAATAGTACTCCCAAAATTCGAAATTTTATTAAGTTCTTCTCATCCGGGAAGAATTTTCAAGAGGTCTTCTATAGGCAGAGAATATCTATGGGGGTTTTATATGAGCTTTAATTGAGGTGATGGGATTACTCTTGAAGGAGAATGCAATGGAAAGTGGTTTAAAGAGATATATTATGGTTGGCTGAGGGACGAAAAAGCTTGGGAATTGTCCGATCTCTTCTATATTTATTACAGATCTTGTGTTGATGGAAATATTGGGATGTGCCAAGTCTGAATGGAATCGAATGTTAATTTCGTGTTTTATTAGCTTCATGAATATTCAAAATTTTGACCCTCTGTGAGGGAGCTACCAGAAGGACTGGACCGATGTATTCCATCTTCACACCAAACCTTGGGTTAATACAAATATTGTGATGTGTGTAATTTGAAGAGAACCAAATGCTTATTTCGAATTTTATGATCGTTTTTGGTTTTCGAAACTTTGACCCTTTGTGCGGGAGGTACCAGAAGGAATAGTCCGATTTATAACATTTTTATAACAGATCATGTGTTGATAAAAATATTTAGATTTGCCAAGTCTGAATGAAATCGGATGTTAATTTCGAATTTTATGAGTTTCATGGATATTTAAAATTTTGATACTTTGTGGGGGAGGTACCTGAAGGAGTAGACATATATATCCCATCTTCACACTAGACCTTGGGATAATGAAAATATTATGATGTGTGTAATTTGAGGGGAAAAAGATGCTTATTTCAGATTTTATGATCGTTTTTGGTTTTCGAAACTTTGACCCTTTGTGCGGGAGGTACCAGAAGGAATGGTCCGATCTCTACCATCTTTATAACAGATCTTGTGCTAATAAAAATATTGAGATGTACCAAGTCTGAATGGAATCGGATTTTATTTTCGTGTTTTATGAACTTCATGGGTATTCAAAATTTTGACCCTTTGTGGGGGATGTACCAGAAAGAGTGGATCGATGTATTCCATCTTTACACCAGACCTTGGGTTAATACAAATATTGTAACTTGTGACATTTGAAGATATTCGGACTTTTACATCACATTTTTCAAGATTTATAATTATTCAAAAATGTTTGCCCTTTGTGGGAGAGGTACCGGATGGAGTTGACCGATATTGTCCATTTCCGCACCTGACCTAGCACTGATGCAAATATTAGGATTTGCAAATTTGGAACAATATCGGATTATCCTTTCACTTTCTGTGCAGTAAATTATTTTCTTTGAAAATGTTTAGATTTTGTGTGGGAGGTAACAAAAGTAGTGGACCGATATTGCCCATCTCCGAACTCAATCTAAGTTTGACAATAATATTACGATGTACCAAGTTTGGATCAAATCGTATAGTCCCTATAGAATATTTTTTTTCTCGAAGTAAATCTAGCTAAAGACAATCCGAAATGACAAATTATAACCCTTCAAAAAAACCAAAAATGCCTTATTGGCTTTCCGACGAATATGTTGAGGTGTTGCAAACGGAGTGACAAAAATTAATTTACCCTCCATTTTATGTTGCAGGGCATACGAAAGGGTCCTTCAATAGAAAGAAGCCATCTAAATGGATCCTCTACGGGTGGAAAATACTCCAACTTATCTCTCTTATTTTTGTTCCCATTTAAGAATTCGATTTATTTTCCTTTGAAAAAAAAAGTAAAACCATGACTGTATGAAGACATTTATTCTAAAGCGATTGGCGGCAAGCCGGCCGGCCGGCTAGCCCTCGTCTCAGCTGATAAGAAAATTAAAAGAATAAATATTTATATAAACACCACACAAATATATGGGGAATATTATTTTGTTGTTGTTATATTTCACTTTGACGCCAATACCATCATTGATGACACAAACGTTGGAAACGAAAACCCCCCCAAAAAAGAAAAGAAAACACACAAGAATACAGATAAAGAATTTGTGTATGTGTGTGTGTTTTTTGTTTTATTTGAAATGATATTCTTGAAGTACTTTTTTCTTCTTCTATAAAATTTCTTATTAAATTTTTGTAGTGTAAATTGAAGTGTTTTCAATTTAATTATTACTCACATTTTGTTAATCATATTGTTGTTTTTTTCTTCCATTTTTAGCTTGACAAATCACTCCGAGAAGGCACCGGGAGAGAGAGCGAATCGACAGAGTCTAATAGAAAGTGCACGGCATAGACATTGAATTTGGAATTCGTAAAGAATCATTAACCCAGTTATTGCTGTTGTTTTGTGATACGGTTGTTTGTTGTCTCTATTGTTGTTGCTGTTATTGAGAGTGTATCTTTTGGGGGAAAATGTCCAGCGAAGAAGATAAACCACCGGCTCCACCAGTCCGTCTAACCAGCAATCGTGGTGGCGATCGGGTGGGAGGTTCCATAACGGGTGGCGGTGATGGACCACCAGTCGACATGAGACCCCTGCCAAAAGGTATTTCCACTAAACAAATATCCCTCAATGTATGTTATACTCATTGTTCTTTTATTCTCTTCACAGAACCCGATGATCCTGATCGCAAGAAAAAAACTTTAAAAAATAAAATCAAAGGCTCCAAGCCATCACATCAGGATTCCAAGCCGAATATATCGTATCCCACAAATTTCGAACACACAGTCCATGTGGGTTTCGATGCGGTTACAGGTGAATTTACGGTAAGTTTGCAATTTTAGTTAGTTGCCGCCCCCGGTAGTTTAGTGAGACAATTGTATATAAGTTCTGCCCCCCCAAAAGTGAGAAAAACCATTCATTGAAAGAAAGAAAAAACCAACTATTGTTATCATGTGTTACGCATTTTGTTATGAATTTTTATTATATATGCATTAATTATGTAAAAAAAACGAATTATACATATGTTTGTCTTGTTTACCTTCTCTCTCTCTCTCTCTCTTTGAAAGTCATGAAAAACATTTCACCGAATTGTATATTTAATATCATGATAATTGTAAAAATGAATTATTTTGCAGTTATAAAAAATGTAAGGATAACATCAGGTTGGGGAATTCTATTTTCTATTGTTAGTTTCGAAATGATATTCAATTGAATCCAACCCGATCATTTTAAATTGCATATAAGGTCAAACCTAACTTGCCTCCCCCTTAATCCAAATCAATGTTCTTAACTGAAAATATGGTTTTGCTTCGAAATTCTCTGTACGATTTACATGGAAAAGTCCTCTTTAAATATTGAGGTAAAATTTTGTTTCTGAAACCTATCAAGATATATAATTTACAAAATAGAAAGAACATTGGAAATTCCATTATATGAAGATTATGCCTATATAGAATATTTTGGCGGAGTTGAACCTCTATCTGAAACCTTCAAAACACCCAAAATCAGGAGGTACCGCTACATGAGGGCTATACCAAAAAATAGACCTACATTGAATATTTTTTTAGAAGTACTTCCTACAACGAACCCGAAATTTCAAATTACAGCTGATTGGTTGTAGATTGGTAGAGAGACCACCCATGTTTAGAATTTTAAAGCAGCATAAACGACAGAAGTGTCGCAACAGAATCTGCTCTTAGACCCTGGTTTTATTTCAAAAATTAAGAACCAAAAAGGTGTTTTAAAAGAATAAAAGTGAAATCAAAACTTGTATGAGAAAAGCAGGAATATGCCAAATTTAGTTTGCATACACGAAGAGTTTGTCCTTCGGATTTATTAATTTCATAGCAAAAGGATTCAGGATGCAGGATTCTGCAATCTTTTGAAGTTGAGTGGCATTTCTGTTACTATTAGACAATAGCAACATACTTCCCCGTAATAATCGTATCCTAAATTAAATTGTTGTGTAGTTTTTTACTTTTACCCTGATGCGATTGTAAAGGTGTTGTAGGACAAAATCATATCCCAGTCTGAACCGATTTCAATATAATATGAAAAAAAAATATTTTTGCTCCAAATTCCATTACGCACTCCAAATTTTGGAGACTATATCTGTAACCGATCAATAGATATGTTTATACTAAAACTAAATTTTTTAGCGGTGCCCCCGTTTCTGATGCTATATTTCCCGTTCCAAGTGAAATTTCAAAAATTTATATAGCCTATGTTTCTTTCAGTCTGGACCTTTCAGAATAATCTGTTCAGCCGTTCATGAATCTATAAATTACAAACAAACAATCAAACGCACAAACATTTTCATCTTTTATAGATATACAGGGTGAGATAAAATAAAACTGCAACAAAGTTAAACGCCATAACTTTTAAATTTTTTTATTAGATGAAAGAAAAACATGTCGGAAATAGCATCAAATTTTAGAATAAATTTAGATTTGTTCGAATTGGTCACCTTTGGCATGAATTATGACCTTCAAACGACCATTGAAACCGTCACACGCTGCCCGAATGTTGCTCTGCGGTATTTTGGCCCATTCCGGGCGAAGAACTTGCTGGAGGTGTTCGACACTTTGGTATTTTTTAGTGTCAACCTTGCTTTCCAAAATACTCCAGACAGAATAGCCCAACGGATTGGTATCCGGGGATTTTGGTGGCCATTGTGCACTGGAAGTAAGCGAGGAACCTCATTTTGTAATCATTCTTGGGTGGCCCAAGGCTTTAATACACCCACCAGAATATCTTCGAGATAATATTCGGCATTTGTTCTGATGCCACGGTCGATTAATACGAGCGGAGTGGAGAACGACTATCGGCTGTTATGGCGGCCCACACCATCACCATGGCCGGCACTTGAGTTCTGGTGGCCAACCGAAGGTGCACATTTTCAGTTGACCTCTTTGCTTACAAACTGCTGGACAACGAATGTTTTCTCATCGGAGAAAACCAAATTCGGCAGTTCACCACTTTCGGCCAGTCTGAATTTGGTTGTAGTTTTTTCATCTCACCCTCTATTTCCACAGGTCTCGACTTCAATTACCTTGGCGTAACGATAACTGATAGGGACGCTGAACGGGTTTGGCCATTTATACAGACGGTTATAAAATGGATAGTCACGTGTGCTGGAGTATTCTGCACTAACCCAATCATATAAGCGTACTGACAATCACAGCGTTTTTTCAGGCGAAAATTCTTGCATTCAGCAAGGCAAGAGATCTCTGCAATTGCATAATAGGACCAGTGACTATAGCATGTCGAGTTTCGCGGGATGGCTTGCCTGAAAAAGAACCTTCTTGAAATACGCGAATTCATTAAGCGTAGTTAGTTTCCAGGATATAGCGACAATGAAGTGACTGATGAGACTGTTAAACCACAAATAAGCTATTGTGGCAACTACTTCAAAAAGTCTCTCTCGAAAAAGCTTGAAGAAGAAGGTAATTGGAAACAGGTTGGATTTTATCTAAGTCCATTTGGCCGCTAATCTCGAGAAGTAGAAAAAGCTCCCTTCTATTACTAAATAGGTCTGATCCCAGAATTGCGGTTAGCATTGCCATATCAGATATCTGACCTCAAGATGGATTACAATGTTTCTGAATAATGTATACCATGTGAAGATGGGGGAGATGTAGTAGCGGTTAAACACCTACTATGCAGATGTCCCATGCTGTCGCCCAAAACTCTAACATTCTTCTTAGATAGAGATTCTAATCATCTTCTACAAGCAGAGCACTCCCTGGCTTGGCAGATCACCCAGCCGACTGTATTTATTTCTCTAGGTTATTTTTCTATGTCCTTCCTATCACCAACAAATGTATTTTTCCAAGAATGAACTCAATGGACCAAAGGTCTCCGAATGAAGCAGTTACCGACTATCGTGTAACTGCGCACCCTTAAGCCAAACCATAGCCTCCACCTCGTCCCTGTGAATATTTTATCCATATCTTTCCTATCGCCAATATATTTATTCTTCCTAGGATGATCACAATGGACCAAAGGTCTCTGAGTAAAGCAGTGTAGCTGCGCATCCTTAAATCAAACCAAATATCTGCCTCCAGCTCGTTCTTGTGGATCTTTTCTAGTTTCAAGACTTCTACATCATTTTCTTAAATTGTCTACGTACTTGAGTCAATATACTGCCTGAAATTTGAGCTAGGCAGGACAGCTTGTGACACTAAAATATGAAATTTGCTATAACACTCAAATCTCAATCTAATTATGGCGACTTTTCTGTCATGCCTTCTTCGTCGTTTTCTTTGTGGTTTTTTTTATGAATGTCCTCTTTTGAAATTTGGATAAATATCTTCTTGTGGTTTAAAATTAAAGGATTCACTTGAAACACACCCCCCCCCCCCCCTTCCAAATTATCGCGAGTGATTCATCCCACACATACCATCTTGGTTTCGTATGGTCTTTGAGTCTAAGTCTGACTTTCCTCAGTATTGGGTCTTTAAAATTCAAAACCTCATATCACTTTTTTTTGCTAATCGCGTCACATTTTCTCGGAGACTCCTCCTTCTTTAAACAATCGAATAGCGGACATATGGCGAGTGGCTGCATCAATGATTCTCCTCATATGCAACGAAACGTTATGCTATAGCCAAAAAAAAAGAATAATCTGTTAAGACAAAAAAATTACTCCAATTTTTCCGCTTGTCCTTTCAAAAAACATGTGCTTCTATTTTCATTTTTTAAAAATAAAATCATCAAGGACATAGCTCTTGCAAATATTTGTAAATCTGCACCTTCTAAGATAACAAGGACCTAAGATAATAAGGAATTTATTTGATTGGAATAGCAACTTGTATTGAAAATGCTTTTGCTTTTGGGCTGCGCTCAATGCTAACAATTTTCTTTATTTTTGGCAAATTTTTATACCCTACAACACTATGTGTTGGGGGTATTATAAGTTTGATTGGGCCAAAAATTATGTAACACCACGAAATATTGATTTCCCACATAGGAAAGTATATATGGATCTTCCTATCTCGCCGAGCTGAGTCGATCTAGCTATGTATGTCCGTCCGTCCGTCTGTCCGTCTGTCCATGTTAATTTGTAATCACTCTACAGGTCGCAATTATGGGCCGATCTTCACGAAATTTAGAATGGAGGTGGGGCTAGGGTCAGAATAGAACCCTATTTCTTTTGGAGATGATCGCCAAATGTTTAGGGGTTGAAATGGACCAAATACTGAAAAAATGTCGGATTTTGCAGTAGCTATACAGGTCACAATTATAGACCAATCGACGCGGAATTTCGCACGTAGCTAGAGTTTAGAGCGGGGAAGAAGCCTACCAATTTGGGTGGTCATCGGATAATATTTAGCGGGTAAAATAGACCATATCTTTTGTGTTGAAAAAATTCAAAAATTTTCATTAAACCGCGAATATTTTAAATCCCGGCGAAACCATAAAGCCATGACAAGGTTACTTCTGATCTTTACATTGATGTTAACATCCATCAAATCGGATATATAGCAAAATATGTGCGATATATATGTCTATCAAAGAAGATATGCTTGAAAAATCTCTTATATGTCGAGAACGGCTGAACTGATTTCGACAGTTCTCATTAATTCAGAATGGCCTCTTGGCAGGAAACAAAAAACCTCTAAAAAAATCGCATAAAAATATCTCTCTAAAGATGAAAATATTGATTTTGTAAAATTTTCTCATATTTTTTCAATTTTGTCATATTTTTGGCATATTTTCATTTTGAATTAAACATTTGGTAATATTTCTACAGCTAACAAAACTAAGTAGTTAGGATATCAGCATATCATATACAGATCGCATTTATGGCCCGATCCTTACG